CGCCGGACGATCCCAACGTTGTTGCGGATTCTGTCGCTGATGTGGTACTTCAGGGTATGGAACTTTTTATTCCTTCCTCTGTGGTGCCCATTGGAGGCAAATCTCAGCCATGGTTTGTTCGCTCCTGTAAAATAGCATCATGCTATAAGCAGGAGTGCTACCAGGCCTGGGCTGACGCATCAGCGTCCCGGGATGTAAATACCAGCGCTCTAAAAAAGAAGTATAATTCCGCCTCTAGGTCCTTCAAAAGAGTCATTGCCAAGGCAAAGTCAGACCACACAGGCAGAATTGGCGAGAAACTAGTTCGCCTTCCTTCTGGAACCCGTGCATTCTGGTCTCTCGCCAAGGCTGTCCAGGGGAATTTCTGTCAGCCATCTCTTCTATCTCTGCACAGGGAGGACGACTCACTGGCCCATACCGCAAAGGAGAAAGCCGATCTTCTAGACTCTTTCTTTGCGTCTAACTCGACTCTCGATGACGGCGGGAGCCGACCATCCCGTGGTGTGAGTGCTCCATGCCGGAAGTGCAGTTCACACAGCGCTCGGTTCGCAAAGCACTCCTCTCCCTGGACAGCCACAAGTCGAGAGGGCCTGACGGAATCCCGGAATCCCCCCCAATTGTGCTGAGGACGTGTGCTCCAGAGTTGGCACCGGTTTTAACGCGTCTTTTCCGGTACTTCTACTCCCTAGGCGTAGTCCCAAAATCATGGAAGACGGCTTTCGTCCACCCGATCCCTAAAAAAGGCGACCGCTCTGACCCGTCCAACTACCGGCCTATCGCCATCACCTCCTTGTTCTCCAAATCAATGGAGTCCATTATAAACTGCCAGTTCATGAGGTACCTTGAGGATCACCAGCTGATTAGTGACCGCCAATACGGTTTTCGCCATGGTCGGTCAGCTGGTGATCTTCTGGTCTACCTTACTCACAGATGGGCGGAGGCAGTAGAGTCCAAGTGGGAGGTATTGGCCGTTAGTTTGTTTATTGCGAAGGCCTTCGATCGGGTTTGGCACAAAGCGCTTCTTTCGAAGCTCCCTTCCTATGGGCTTCCCGAGAAATTGTGCGATTGGATCACGTGCTTTCTTGCAGATCGGAGCATCAAGGTCGTTGTTGACGGTGCAAGCTCCGATTGCAAGCCTATTAATGCTGGTGTTCCACAAGGCTGCGTGCTATCGCCAACGCTGTTTCTTCTGCATATCAATGATATGTTGCAAACCCGTAACATTCATTGTTATGCAGATGACAGCACTGGTGATGCTCTTTACACCGGTCGAGCCAATATTTCTCGGGAAAACGTCTCCGAGTGCCGGAATAAACTTGTGTCTGAAGTTGAGTCTTTGCTGAACAGAGTCTCGAATTGGGGGCGACTAAATCTAGTCCAGTTTAACCCCCAGAAGACACAAGTTTGCGCGTTAACCGCTAAAAAGTACCCCTTTGTCGTATCCCCTCAGTTTAGCACTCCCCTTGTTGCCTCAAACAGTATTGTAATCCTCGGCGTCGACATATCGAGTGACGTGCAGTTTTGTGGTCACTTGGAGGGGAAGGCCAAATTGGCCTCTAAAAAGCTTGGCGTGCTCAGCAGAGCGGGACAGTATTTCATGCCGGCACACCGCCTGCAACTTTACATGGCGCAGGTTCGGCCGCACATGGAATACCATCTCTGGGCTGGGGCTCCCCAGTACCAGCTCCTTCCACTTGACCGCATCCAGCGCAGAGCGGCTCGAATCGTCGACGACCGAGTGCTTTCCGATCTGCTCGATTCACTGGCATTGCGAAGAGATGTTGCATCTCTTTGCATTTTCTTTCGCATCTACCATGGAGAGTGCTCTGAGGAATTGTTCGGATTAATCCCAGCCGCCAAATTTTGTGAACGCACTACGCGGCAAACGTCCCGATACCATCCACACCATCTGGATGCTTGGCGGTCCACCACTGTACGTTTCAAAAGGAGGTTTCTTCCGCGTACAACCTTTCTGTGGAATAGTTTACCACCGGCGATTTTTCCGGACCGATACGACCTGGGGACCTTCAAGAAAAGAGCTTACTCCTTTCTAAAGGGCCGGCAACGCACCTGCAATTCCCCTGGTGTTGCGCTTGATAATGGGCGGCGGTAATCACTTAACATCAGGTGAGCCGCATGCTCGTTTGCCCCCTCTTCTATAAAAAAAATAGGGACAACCATTTGCAAACGACAGCTGTCTCCTCGAGCATTGTCCCATTTACGGCACAGGACTCCATCCTGAATGAGCAAGCTGTCCCATTGGGACCAATAACTTCTAGTGGTCGAACTCATCGCTGAGACGTCGCTCCACTTAGACTTGGTAGCACGGGCCTTCATCCATTCCAGAATCGGCTTGATGTCCGGATCTTCCTGCTGTGCATGTCGTAGCTTTCCTTTCCACTCGTTGTCGAGGTGGTCTGTCCTGAGCATCCTCACGGATACCACTTCCTTACTCTCTTGCCTAGTACAATGTTTGCAATCTTCACGACAAGGTCTTCTTGACAATGCATCTGCGTTGCCATGAGATTTCCCGCTGCGATGTCTGATAGTAAAGTCGTATTCCGGCTGCTGCTGGACGATGATGCTAGCCGCACTTCCCTTCTGAGATCGTTCAACTTCCCTTTCTAGGGTTCGCTTAGGGCAGCTGGATCGTAGATGGCCCCTTTCCCCACAGCCATAGCACCTAGGGCTGTATCCTTTATTGTAGTCGCGAACCGTAACTGCTGCAACCTCTCTAGCGTGAGGGGAACGATGATACTGCCGCCGCCAGGCGGTGCCGTTAGCTGCACTACCTTCTCGAGATCGATCAACTTCCCTTTCTACGGTTCGCTAAAGGCAGCTGGATCGAAGGTGGCCCCTTTCCCCATAGCCATAGCACCTAGGGCTGTATCCTTTGTTGCGGTCGCGAACTGTAGCTGCTGCAACCTCCCTGACGCAATGGGAATGATGATCCTGCCACACGGCTTCCACCTCCAGTGCACGGGCCACGGCGTCTTTAAGCGTCTCGTGGTACCCGAGCCTCACATCAGCTCTGACTTCCAGGTCGCGGATGCCGTCGATGAATGTCTGCACCAGGTTCCCTTCAATGAGCGCAGGTATAGACCGTTATGCTTTTCGCACCAGCTTCTCCACCTCTAGAGCCCACTGCTGCAGGTTTTCGTTGATGCGCTGCACGCAATCTTTAAGCTGCGCATGAAAGACGTGTTCCAGGTGAGTGTCGCCATATCTCGCCTACAATGCCTCAAGGAGTTGCTCATAAGTCACTTCCTCACTGAAAGCTTCCAGAACGGTTAAGGCCTGGTCGCGCAGGCCTAGTGTGGAGCAGTCATGGCCTGACTTTTATTGCAGCCATTCGCCTTCAAAAAGCCTCGAACTGGATTTTGTAGGGTGACCAGGAAGAAGTCCCGGCGAACGGTGGCACTTTGAACCCACGTAGCGAAGGTGTTGTAGCTACTATGGGAGCTGTAATTCCATCCCCCAGTTTTAGGTCGTCCAGCGTTTTCTTCACGTCAGCCATCACGTTGTGAACCCGGTTGTTTACTTGGTCGATTCGGGTTTCAGCTTTCTCGATTCGGGATTCAGCTTTCCCTATCCTTCACCTCCTTTATCTCCTTCCCGAAGGTAGCGTGAAGATCCTTCATGAGGATCATCTGCTCTTCCAACCGACGGGCCTGTTCCTCTTGTCCACCCCGCAGCTGCTCTTCCAACTGACGGGCCTGTTCCTCCTTTCGGCGAGCCTGTTCCTTCTGTCGGCGAGCGTGTTCCTCCTGTCCGCCCCGCAGATGCTCTTTCAATCGGCGTGCCTGTTCCGCCTGCTGGCGGGCCTGTTCCTCCTGTCGGCGGGCCTGTTCCTGCAGCATCATCATGAGAGCACCTGAATCAGGTGCTGCAGGTGTAGGAGCTGCTGACAGGCCAGCCTCCGTGGCTGGCAGTTGGCTCCCCGACGTCTGCGGCGTTGTACCACCAAATCTTCTCTGGTCCGTCTCCTGCTGGCGTTGACTTCGGGTACGGACACCCCCCGTTTCCTCTTTAGGTAAAATCGGCATGATTTTATCCCACTTCTGACACCAATTGTTACGAGCTTGAGGTTCGTGACAATAAAAACAGCCGATTGAATTACCAAAATTTACACTTTTATTACCGAACACCAATTAAAACTTAAAACACTAATAATTAATCACACTGATTCACTTTATTTCGCTCCGAAGCTTCGCTTGTCTCGCCAAATTCAATACTGCTCCGATCGTGGCATGCAGCGGGTTTAAATACACGTTTTACACCGAAACATCCAAAATATTCGCGTAGATACGGGCGCCAACCGACCAGACGCAGAAATTTCGAGTGTGGGGGCTTCTAGAAAGTTTAGTTCTTCAATTCGATACTAGATGGCGCTGTTGGTTGAAAGTCAAGATTGACATTTTCTAGGGAGCCCTCCTCGCTCTGGTCCCCGATACTAGATGGCACTAGTGCCGGGTACATGACGTCAAATCAGCCGCCATTATACAAAATTTGACTTAAATTAGATTTAAATTATTATTTTAAAACCAATAGTGTTTCAAAACGATGATGCAAACAAATGTGAATGTTATCACGTCCAACACCAAAGCGGTTGTTTGATATAAAATTTAATTTAAAATTATTAACCACACGCTCCAGTTTCGGCTCATTGGTATTCATTCATATGACATTATTTATATTGAAAATAATCTTCAAAGATCACTTTTTTTTAGAAATTTTCAATTTATCAAAAAAATCTTCAAACTTATCGGATAAAACAGCTTAGATCACTCCTGGCATTGTTCTCTGTCTGTTCGTTAAATTTCATTACAATCAGTACAGTTATTCCGAAGATTAGCGTGGGCTGGCAGATAGACAGACAAACAAAAATTTAAAATGGTTATTAATGCGTAATGGCTTGCAAATACTGATACTGAGCAGGCTCAGTTCAATAAAAATCAGTTATTTTGATACAAAATAAAAATTGAGAATCTAATACAAACCTTGAAGGAAATTGACAGTCTTGCACATGACTTCCCCGAAGTACCACAGCAAGGTTACGGCTTTAGCGATCTGAACCGGCATGCAGAACAGTGTAACGAGCAAATCCGCCACCGACAGATTTACCAAGAAGATGTTTGTAACACTGAAACAATATAAAAAATGGCTTAATTTGGTACCTATTAGCTTATTAAAGAAATTTTAGAAAATTTTTAAAGGAAGAACTAATTTTGTTTTAGAATAAGGGTGACAAACGAGCACATAGTCCCCATAGTGATTCTAAGTGGATGCTGTGGCCCATATACATCTACACTTAAGCTCGCTTAAGAATCAAAATGCAGATGCGTTGTCACCCTTGAGGACCGAGACGGAATGCCTCGATTCCAGTAAAACGGTTTCTCTACACTCACTATACGAAACACAGCAGCATTAAGCTACTATTTTACACCGGTATTCGGTGAGAGCGTGGTCCTTCCCCAGTCGAGTCGACCCATTCATGCTACAATCATAATGGCTGCAGTGTGGTTCTATCACGTATGTATAAAATTAACAGAGAAATAATAATAATTAACTGGGATATTGCACATTATGTAGGTATTAAACTATTTTTCTTTATATTTATTTGTAAATCTTTATACAAGTTGTGTTACAGATTTTTTATAACTTCAAGAGGGGTGCCGGGCTGAAAACCAGTGATGTCACAGAGACCGGTTATTTTCGCAGTTTTATACTGCAAAATAGGGTTTTCTTTTAATTGCATTTATAAATTTGCAATGTTGGTAAATACTTAGTTTTATTTATGTTTTTGTCAGTTATTATGTTTGTTGTGCTGCATGATTAAACTAAAAAAACGGATTTGTTTCTTCTTTCTTTCCTTTTAAAAAATTCTGCGAAATAGAAACTTTTCCTCTTCCTGGAATTTTTTTCACTGCTGGATATATGTCACTGCTGTAGTCGGGAGTAATTGCTTTAACCTTCACTCTTGAAAGGCGAGTTGACGTTCGCATTCAAACATCTTGCATTCAATTCGTGGTACAGCCACGCTGCAGCTCTATAATGGTTGTAGCATGAATGAGTTGACTAGACCGGTATAGAGCCACGCCCCCACTAAATTCTAGTGTGAAAAAGCAGTTTAATGCTGCTGGGTTTTGTATGGTGAGTGTAGAGAACCGGAAACCATTTTTACTGAAATCAAGACATTTCATCTTAGTTCTCAGAAATGACAACGTATCTACATTTTGATTCTTAATTGAGGATAAATATAGATGTCTATGGGCCACAGCGTCCACTTACCGCCACGTGGACTGCGATCTTATTTATTACCCTTATTCCAAAAAACCCTTTGATAATGTTGCCCATCGCCAGTCTAAGTATTTTACGTCTAGTGTAAACGAGATGGTTACTTTGGGAGACGTGATTATCTCCTGGTTATACTGCTATCTATCGAAAGCCATAAGAGTTTTTTGGTATTTCTCTTACGATATCCACAGAATGAAATGGGTTTATGAACTTTCCCTCGCCACCACCTCACTTTATCTATTTACACCGTATTATATAAAATACCACCGCAGCCAGAGATGGATTAGTAAGCTGAAGTGGCAACGGTATATGGTATATGGGTATAGTCCGAAGAAACGACAATCAATGTGGAATAAAAGTTTTCCAGTGGCAGCCTCGTACTGGTAGGCGAAGTACAAGACGTATACACTGCGACACTTAGAACCGTACTGGCGGACAACTGTGCGAAAACATTCACTTGTTTCTGATCTCAGCACTATATAGAGGCAGCTCCTAAATTTAAAACATATTGTTACGGGCTTAGGGTTCGTGACAATAAAAACTGCCGATTGAATAACCAAAATTAACACTTTAGTTCCCGAACACCAATTAAAACTTAAAAGACACTAATAATTAATCACAATGATTCACTTTGTTTCGCTCCGAAGCTTCGCTTATATCTCCAAATTCAATACTGCCCCGATCGCGGCTTGCAGCGGCTTTAAATACACCTTTTCCACCGAATCATCCAGAATATTCCAGCAAACACCGATCCCGAACGACAAAATGCGGAAAGTTCGAGCGTGGACTTTTCTAGAAAGCTTAATTCTTCATTAGTTACTAGATGGCGCTGTTGGAAGAGTTCAAAAAATATCTTGATTGGCATTTTCTAGTAAGCCCTCCTTGCTCTGTTCCCTGACACTAGACGGCGCTAGTGCCAGTTACCAGACATCAACTTAGGCGCGCAATACTGCCCCTCCTAAAACATGCTCGTCCCGAGCATTATCGGCCCCATAATAACGCGCCAGTCGATCTACATGGATGATCTTAGGAGTAGTACCTCTTGTACCTTTCTCTCCGCAACGTCAAGGGCTGTCCTATCCCATGATGCATCAACATTGTACAATTTCAATGCACCTCTACTACGAGTCTGAGGTCCCTTCACAGCCGCACAACTTGTACATTTGCGACACCAATCCTCAACATCGTCACGGTAATGGACCCAGTCAAATCGTTCTCGGATCTTCAATAAAGTTCGTTTAACTCCCAGATAGACTCCTGAACAACCATTATGGTACAGCTATAGAACATTCGGTACATTAGCTTTAGGGACAACCATTTGCAAACGACAGCTGTCTCCTCGACCATTTTCTCATTTACGGCACAGAACTCCATCCTGAATCAGCAAGCTGTCCAATTGGGTCCAATAGCTTTAAGTGGTCAAACTCATCATTGAGATGTCGCTCCACTTGAAATTGGTAGCACGAGCCTTCATCTATTCCAGAATCGGCTTGATGTCCGGATCTTCTTGCTGTGCATGTTGTAAGCCGTCCTTCCACTCGTTGCTGAGGTGGTCTGTCCTGAGCATCCTCACGGATGCCACTTCCTTACCCTCTTGCCTAGTACTGTTCTCGCAATCATCAGGATAAGGACTTCTTGACAATGCATCTGTGTTGCCACGCCATTTCCCGCTGCAGTGTCCGATAGTAAAGTCGTATTCCTGCTGCTGCTGGGCGGTGCTGTAAGCCACACTACCCTTTCGAGATCGATCACCTTCCCTTTTTACAGATCGTTTAGGGCAGCTGGGTCGAAGATGGCCCCTTTCCCCACAGCCGTAGCACCTAGGGCTGTATCCATTACTGCGGTTGCCCTCCCTGACGTAATGGGAACGATGATCCTGCCGCACGGCTTCAACCTCAAGTGCATGGGCCAAAGCATCCTTAAGCGTCTCGTGGTGGCCGAGCCTCAAAGCAGCTCTGATTTCAAGGTCGCGGATGCGCGTTGACGAATGTCTGCACCAGGTTCCCTTCAATGAGTGCAGGTACAGACTGGTATGCTTTTCGAACCATCTTCTCCACCTCAAGGGCCCACTGCTGCAGGTTTTCGTTGATGCGCTGCAGGCGATCTTTAAGCTGCACACGAAAAACGTGTTCCAGGTGAGCGTCGCCATATCTCGCCTCCAATACCTCAAGGAGCTGCTCGTAGGTCACTTTCTTACCGAGAGCTTCCAACACAGTTAAGGCTTGGTCGCGCAGGCCCAGGGTGGTTGCAGTCATGGCCTGGCTTTTATTCCAGCCGTTCGCCTCCATGACAGTCTTAAACTGGATTTTGTAGGCTGACCAGGAATAAGTCCCGTCGAACGGCGGCACCTTGAACCCACGTAGCGAAGGTGTTGTAACTACGACGAATTCCATCCTCCAGTTTGAGGTCGTCCAGCGTTTTCTTCACGTCAGCCATCACGTTGTCAACCCGATTGTTCGCTTGGTCGGGTTTCAGCTTTCTCGATTCGGGTTTCAGCTTCCGACAGGCGGTTGTCATGTTGAGCAACCCTATTCTTCACCTCCTTTATCTCCTTTCTGAAGGCAGCGCGAAGGTTCTTCATAAGGAGCATCAGCTTTTCTAACCAACGGGCCTGTTCCTCCTGTCCTCCTCGCAGCTGCTCTTCTAATCGGCGTGCCTGTTCAGCCTGCTGGCGGGCCTGTTCCTCCTGTCGGCGGGCCTGTTCATCCTGTCGGCGAGTCTGTTTTTGCAGCAGCATCATGAGAGCACCTAAGTACAGTTGCTGCAGGTGTAGGAGCTGCTGACGGGCCAGCCTCCGTGTCTGGCAGTTGGCCCGCCGACGTCTGTGGCGTTGCGCCACCAAATCTCCTCTGGTCGGTATCCTGCTGGCGTTGATTTCGGGTACGGACACCCTCCGTTTCCTCTTAGGTAAATTGCATATGGAAAATAAAAACTGCTGATTGAATTACCAAAATTAACACTTTAGTCCCCGAACACCAATTAAAACTTAAAAGACACTAATAATTAATCACACTGATTCACTTTGTGTACCTTGTCAATAGTATGTGCTATCTTAGTTAACAGGTATATAATAAACAGGTAAGAATTGTTTATGTCTTTAACATAAACTGTCAATTTTTTTTATTTCTTAAATAAATAAATAAATAATAATAAAAAATAATAATAATTAAAACTACTTTTCGGATTTTACCGCGTTTAAAATAATAGTAAATCCGTAAAATTAGTTTTAATCAATGTGTAGTGTTCGCGTAAATATAAGAAATCATTATGTTAATTAAAAGTTAATAGGATTTTCCAAATCCTTCTCTATGCACTAAACTTCCAATTCCTCTATGCACTATATCCCAGCAATGACCTCAGTAGCTGTTGTATGGAAAATATTTATCCTTATTAGTCTATTGACTTTTACTTGTTACTAAAAGATTAATTTTGAACTCTAAAAAGGTATAGTTTATAATATACTTCTCACTAATGAGCACAGGCTCATCCCACTTATTTCTGAGATGTTTCTTCATACCAGGTATATACAACAAAAATTATGTGCTCGTATTTACCTACGACATAATCTGAACTCGATACGGCAAGGTGAGTGTGCGTACACATTTTACCATGAAAAAAAAAATGAGATGAGCGAATAATTTATGAACCATATGACCTTCATGAAAAACTAGATTAAATAAGCACTTTGAGAGATCCTTGCCCATAAAAGGAGGTCTCTCTTGGAGGTCTCCAAGGGGTGGTGGAACGATGCAAGTTTATATTGGCATTTCCCCAAATAAGCACTG